TATAATTGGAAATTTGGTCGATTACTCATTGGACGAGATTTAGGTACTGTACTTAATTCTTGAATAGGTTCATATGGGTTACAATGAATTAACAATATTTTTGTATCTTGTATGTTTATTATTCAAAGATAATTATCTACATAATAAAACGTACGTAAGATAAATTAAAAATATGTGAACAATTTTATTAAAATATTGTAAGAATTACTAATAGACTTTCATGACTAGGTAATCTTTGTTACCTATCATATAAAAATAATATTAACAAGAAAAATACACCTCAAKACGCACCGACCTGRAGATGCCACCCAATGTTGCAGAAGCACTTGATGAACACAACACGTCAAARATCATTAAATTCYTAAACATTACCAATATTATTAAAAAATTGTAARCTCTGTAAATAACGATTGTAAAAAACTATTATTTCATAAATGTACACATAATTTTAAGAAACATATATGTAACTTTTCAGGCTAATAACCTTTGATGTTGAAGCCTTATTCTTAAAATAAAAAAATAAAAAAATAAAAAGAAACGTGTGCGCACATTTTCGCTACAACAGACATAAACAAAACTTGAACATAACCTCCGACATAATATATAGGAACGTAAAATAATAACAATAKTAATAATAATAATAATATTACTACTAATTTTATCACAGATTGGCCCTCCTGACCTATCCCAGACCCTKGGATTAATACACAAATAATAATTTAATCATACATAATACAACTCAGTACATCAATATATAAACATCAACAGTATATAAAATCAGAATATAAACAATGTCATGACCAGTGGTGGACTGGAATAAAAAAGCCCGGGGTGCAAAAACATTTTTAGGGCCCTATCAACATTCTATAAAATAAAAAACATATAATGCACTTTCTACTTTATTCTCAGCAATTTTTTTTAATGTATTCATTATAGTACATACTTATTTTCTTAAATAAGAAGAATTTCAGTTTTTAAACAATAGGACTGTATAAACTTAATAGT